CACTTAGTCTTCGCCGATGACCTCATGCTCCTCTCTCGGGGTGACTCGGGATCAATCAAAGTGCTCATGGAATGCTTAAGAGACTTTTGGGAGAAATCGGGGCTTGAAATGAATGTGCTTAAATCCAACATCTACTTGGCCGGCGTGAAAGAACGTGATCGTGAGACCATCCTTGATGATACTAGCATGCTAATCGGGCCAATGCCGTTCCGTTATCTCGGAGTCCCCCTCACCGCGGATCGGATTACTGGGAGGCTATTTGATGATATGATCAACCAAATTGAAATCCAACTTAGTGGGTGGAGGAGCCACTCTCTCTCCTATGCCGGTAGATTGGAACTAATTCGATCGGTCATTCAAGGCATTGCTTGCTTTTGGATGGGCATCTTCCACTTGTCGGGCATTATCCGAACAAAAATCATTCAACTATGTAGGAGGTACTTATGGGGCTCCAAAAAAGCCCCCGTTGTATGGGATACTTTGTGTCTACCCCGAGCGGAGGGAGGATTGGGGCTCCGTAACTTGGATGCTTGGAACCGATCCCTTCTCATGCGGACTCTTTGGAATATGCAAGCTAAGAAGGATACACTATGGTTCAAATGGATCCACAACATCTATTTGAAGGAGAAAACTATTTGGGATTGGCAAGTTTCCAAGAATGACTCCCCTCTCTTTAAATCTCTCTTTGAAATCCGGCAAAGCTTGATTGAAAAGGCGGGTAGCGAGCGCGGTGCGGAAGCCCTCCTCCGTGCTTGGAGTTTACGCAACAAGCAAGACGGTACTAGCAAGTGTTCCGATTTTCTCCGACCAAAGGGTATTGAGAAGCCATGGGTCGGGGTTGTTTGGGGGAGTTGCAATACCCCCAAGCATTCCTTCATTTTATGGCTTGGTGTGATGAATAGGCTCCAAACAAAAGATCGTCTGGAGTTCCTAAATGAAGACCCGACATGCCCCCTTTGTGGTACCGCGAACGAATCCTCGAGCCACCTCTTCTTCGAGTGCCCCTTTAGCTCGGAGATATGGAGTGCAATTCGAGTTTGGGTTAGCCTCCGTCACATGCCAACCACTCTAAAAGGTGCCCTCAAATGGACCAAAGAAGGGAAAGGTACGACTTGGAGAGCCAAATTGAAGAAAGCGGCGCTTGCGGCCACCGTCTACTTCATTTGGAATGCGCGAAACCGATTGATTTTTGAGGGTGAAACCCAACCTCCAAGCCTTGTGATTAGAAAGGTAAAGACCCACGTCTACCGATCTATTTTTGCTCTTTTTCCGAGTGTTTTTGCCGAATTTGAGAGAAGAAGCCTAGACGTTGAAGTATAAAATTTTGATAATTTTTGGGGATGGTTGATGTCAAGTGCTTGAGCACTTAGAAGATCTTGGTTGGAGGAGAACATTGTTCTCGTTATTTTTGTGTTTGCGAGTGAGGAACCGACTTGTGGTTACCCACTACGCTCTTGAAATCTGACTCGGTTGTATGACTTTCAATTTTGATCAATACAAATTTATTTAACGATAAAAAAAAAAAAAATGGACAAGTCATGGGCCATATCATCCACGATACATGGGCTTTAAATAACAAAGAGAGATTACTCCAAGATGTATTAATAAAAAATCTATTAATATATAATAAGGATTAACATAATTCATTTTTAGAAGCACTTTCCCGCCAATTTTATTAATTACTGTCTAAAAATAGTAAATTAACAAAAATCAATGTAATTAATGTACACAATCTTTTTAGTCAAATATTTATGGTTATTACCTTTATTAGTTGAATTTAAATTTAGGATGATTTAGTTTTATGGATACAAATATGGGGTATTATAGAAACTTTCGAAATCCTTAGTTTAAATATATAGACTTGATTGAGCAATTATAGAGAATTAATCGTTAATCTTTATACCTATATTATATTTCATGTATTGAGTAGAACATAATAAATTAATACTTATGTTATTTTTCATACATCTTTTTGTTGGCACAATAGAGTTGCAAGATTATGTTTTTCTTCGTAGACAATATAACCAAATACAAAATATAAGTAACATTTATGTGCCGCTAAAAAATATTTTTGACAAAATGTAGAAATGACTTTTAGAAATACTTAATTAATTTATGGTATAAAGTTGACAAAATTAATAAATTCAATTTTGGTATAAAGTTGATGATTTTATTTTAAGTATATGATAGCCATTTTTATTTTTTTCATAGAAAATGTGTTGTTAATAATAAATGTCCGATTTTTTGGTATAAAGTGGATGATTTATTTTTGGTACGAAATGTTCGAATTTAAGTAGTATGAATTTTATTTGGAATGAATAGAAGTATATTTAAAATTATTTAAAATAAAATAAGAGCATTTACAATGCATAAATGTTGTTAGCACATAAATTTTGAGAAATGTCAATTGTTTATATGGATTGTGAACCACATAAGATATTTGTTAAGTTCACAACTTTATATCTAAAAAATTATCTGCGTGCACAATGTGATCAAACATAATATTGTCAATTGACAAAAATAAAAATAAAATATAAATAAGAATCAAAAAATAAATTAATAATTAGATATTTTTAAAAAGATAATCCATAATATTTGATTAAACACTAAATCCGGCTATTTAGAATCAATTATATTTAAAAGCAGTATTATTATGGAACTAAATGTTATGGAATATCTTTTTAAAAACAGCATAATTATGATATCAAGATATTTAACTACGATTCAATCTTTTTAATTCAATCCATATCTCTTTTTAGACTTATCAATTCATTTTAATATAATATAAATTTACCGTAAATGTGAGAGTTGGACTTTACAATAATCACGGTATCAATATTAACAATATAAATGTTAAATAAAATTTAATTATTTGGACTGTAAATGATAAAATATCGTTGTTGTTTTTTTTAAACGTAATTATTTTTATAAATATGTTTTACAAAAGATACAACCAAAAATTTCAAATCTCTGTTAAAACATAACAAAACAAAATCGTTCTAAATTTTTGGAATGAATTTGGCATAAAAAATGAGAATGATTGACACAAGAAAAAGATATACTCAAAACCAACACTTTAACTTTAAGGTAACAATTTTCCTTATACTCGATATAAATTAAACTTAATCAGATAATCGTATCTTTAGTATCTATCACAATATAAAATATTTTCACTATAGTTTTATTTGTGGTGGTAACATTCCGAAAATCAACAAAAAAATAAAGGAATGAGGTGTCTATACAATTCACAATTACCAAGTGGAGAGCAATCTTGGTAAATATCGATTTACGGTTACCAAGTGAAAAACAATTTTGCATGGAAAAACAAAGAGCTTTTTAATAATGTATGATTTTTTCATGATGATCATTTTTCGATTACCTAACAAATGTTCTATGTATTATAACTTATTGATTTAGCCTTCAATTATAAATTTTACCAAATTAAATACAGTTCGTGCATCGCACGGGGTACGTACTAGTTGATATTATAAGCCCATTAAAGAAAGCCCGAATAGTGATAGGGAAATAGAAAATTGAAAAGAAAAATAAATTTTACGTTACTTTTAGTTTTAGCTGGTAAATTACGCTCTCTTCTTCTCCTACAGGTTCGAGCTCATCTCAATTTGCAGAACGTACGAATCTCTAAAAAAATATCCAAGCATTTAAAGAAGGTGAAAATGGCGGATCAATTAATTGACGACCAGATCTTCGAGTTCAAATAGGCTTTCAGCCTCTTCGACAAGGATTTATATGCATAGACCCCCTCTAAGCTAACTTATTTTGTACCCGATCTATCTAACTATTTTTCTGACCACGACTTAGACTTACGCTGCACGTATAGATCCCTCCAAGCAGTATGAAGATGCTCGTCTCAAGCAACAAGTAGAACAAAAAACAAAACTGACAACTCGAATTACCAACGATGAACCTTTATGCTTGAATCCGACCACTCTATAAAATATAGTAAAAAAACTCACGAGCTCTCAATGAATAAAACTCTAAACTTTATGAAAGAATAATGGAATAACTCATTCTCTACCAGAACCCGTGAAACTAATATATATAAACTGTATACGGTATGCAGATTCATTAGAAATATGGAGTTTCTAAATTTATTTGGTCTTCTCGCTCAACTTTGGAAACTGAATCTTCATGCCTCATAAGTTTTCATGCACGAATCTTTTGCCCAATTATTCCATATTTAAAGCATATCTCTCTTCAATAGTGTGAACTTTCTTTCCTTATTTCCATGCGAACCTTCGGAAATATCTTCTTGCCGATTTCCTTCCTTTTCTTGCTCGGTTTTCTAGCTCTCTTCCTCAAGATTTCAGCTCTCAAATCTTGCATGACTATGTTTCTTTTATCATCTTTGCTCTTTCTTTTCCTACAAGTCAAAAAAGACAATTAAATAAATATCATACCATATAGTAAGATAATATCAAAAGAAGGAAAATGAATATATAAAATCTCCCAATGAATTTAATATATTTCTATTATTTACAAGCTAAAGGAGGGTAATTAAATCCAAATACACAATAAGAGAATAACTAAAATATAAAAAGTTAAGATGATAAAATATTCCCTTTCTCTGCTCAAACTCAATTTCAGGCTCGTTTATTTAACGAGCCGCTCGACTCGGCTCGAGCTCGAGCACCCTAAGTTTTAGCTCGACTCTGCTTGTTTATAGGCCTAATTAGAACATAGTTTATAGGAGTTTAATAAGCCTTTAATAAAAAAGAAGCACGTATTAAAATAAAATAAAAATATAATTAAATGAAAAAAAAGTCAAAAACACGAAATTAGCGGAATATAATGGTTGGAACATGGTATTAAAATCTCTATTTGCCATTGAATAATTTTTTTCCATTTTTGCCGATAAAAATACCTCTTTTTTTTGGCATCCTACAAAAACGACCCCATCAAGCTCCCCCTCAAAATCGATATCCTTTTCATTGCTTCTCATTCCATACCATTCTCTCAAGCTTTCAACACAAGGAGAAATGGCGGATCAGCTTACTGACGACCAGATCTCTGAGTTCAAGGAAGCTTTCAGCCTGTTCGACAAGGATGGCGATGGTTCGTTTTATCTTCGTCTGCCGTTTTTAATTACCTTTTTCATGATTTTGAATTGGTCCTGTTTTTCGCGTTTGGTTGTGTGTTTGTGCGTGTTTGTTGTGTTTTGGATGTGTATGATTCTGTTATTCGTCAGATCTGGCTGAATCGAATCGAATCTATTTGGGGGTTTTGCGGTAGCAGAGGCGATTTATTTCATTTTGTTCTTATTGTGGTGTTAATTCAATGAGCTGAACAATTGCTGGAAGGATTGTGTTTTATTGATGTAATCCCATCGAATTATGAGTCAGTGTTGAATATAAGAGGTCTTTGCCAAGTGTAATTGAAAGCTAGTATCAATTGGGCTGTGCTGAATATCCATGATTGTAGTTCTCTGAGTAAGGATCAAAAATTGGTTTCTTAAAAATATGAGAGATTTGTAAAATTTTTCGGCTCGAGTCCCATAATTTAAGTCCCTACAGTCTCGAATTCGTTTGCAGATTATGGAAATTGGTTGGTTAAAATATCGTGTGAAACGACATTTGTGGTTGTTCTAACATTTGGCTACTTATTGGGGTATGATTCGTGTGCCTATATGTGGGGGAACGGGAATACACTAATTAGGATATTATGTTGGAAATACAAAACAAAATCCTTCTAGATTTTGTAGTTTGATTGGATTATGACCGAACTCTTTGATCCGTCTGTCTCCAAACAAGATATTCTAATCGATTCAAATGGATTTATATTTATTGTGCTTACATGAAATGTGTAATACCTGCATTTATCAATGTATTCTAATGTAAGTCGAAAGCCAAATGAAGCATGAATTTGATTTGGAATTCTGAAAACTAACATTCAATATCTGTATTTATCAATGTGTTTGAATGAATGCTAGAATACCCATTGAAGTATGGGTTTTTTATTTAGGTTTCTGAAAACTGATTTGCAAACTGTCATAGCCGTCTTATCATACCAAATGAAGTATATGGTTTGTGATCTGGTATTCCAAAAACTAATCTGCAAACCCGCCAAACCCGTCTTATCATACCAAATGAAGTATATAGTTTGTAATTTGGGATTCTGTCTTATCATACCAAATGAAGTATATAGTTTGTGATTTGGGATTCTGTTTTATCTTACCAAATGAAGTATAGTTTTTGATTTGGGATTCCAAAAACTAATCTTCAAACCCGCCAAACCCTATCTGTCTTATCTTGCACGCAGGTTGCATCACGACCAAGGAACTTGGAACCGTAATGAGATCCTTGGGCCAGAACCCGACCGAAGCTGAGCTCCAGGACATGATCAACGAGGTCGATGCAGATGGAAATGGCACCATCGATTTCCCCGAATTCCTTAACCTCATGGCCCGCAAGATGAAGGACACGGACTCCGAGGAGGAGCTTAAGGAGGCCTTTCGTGTATTTGACAAGGACCAAAACGGGTTCATCTCGGCAGCCGAGCTCCGTCACGTGATGACGAACCT